TATATTTCTAGCTTCACATTAGTTTTTGAATCATTGAATTTGGTTAAGTATCGAGTTAGTTATTAGCTTTGAAAGTAGGGAAGAAATTCCTAGATTTCTGGAAAACTTAGACCGTGGCCATTTGGCCACTTTCAGGCCATTTTCCTGGCCACCATAGACCTTAGCTCGGCCCTATTTTCTTATATACTTGTTCCCTACACTCCTAACTTCACGTAGGTTCTAGTATCATTGATTTTGGTGGAGAATCGAGCTCGTTAGGAGCTCTGGAAGTTGGACCTTCAACCTGCAAATTGTAGGAACTCGCAATGAAGGCAAGTACGTATGTACTCGCATGCACGTGGGTGTGTGTGGTCTCACATGGGTCCTTGATGCGTGCAGCGTGTAGATGTCAGTGCAACCACTTGTGGTGGTGCGTCCGGCCTTCGATTGACCTTTTGTTAACTTGTGTAGGTCCATGATGTCGAGTAAATCGATTTCATATATTCAAACCCTATGTTTGAGCAATCTATGAAGGTTTTATTTAAGTTTCCGTTTATGTGTTATTAAACTAAGTTAATTAGTAATTTCACATATAGGGGAAACGTATCCCAAGGACGTATGAGGTCAAGCAAGGCTCGGAGACTTCGTTTTGACTGCATATATGTGAGTGGGCAGTTGTTTTATACCTATACATATTTATAGTTTCTATAAATGCATATTTACTTCACTTTTACGCTTATATTGCCAAGTATCGTTATTGTGATATTAATTGTGATAAATGCTGTTATATGGCTGAGATATTGCTATCATGACTTTCATACATATTTGTACATGCTCATCTTGCTGCACCGATGTTAATACTTGCCCCAAGGCCAAAGCCAGTCATTCACGTGTATGTTCACATGGCACCGTATGCTCTCCTTGGATCCAAGTTAGGTGCCAGTCATGTTGGGTAGATTGCATTAGGCAATCCGACTTGTATGTGACCGTGCTTCTGCACCAGCCTTCACATGATCGTAGTACTAGAGCATATTGATTACACCCAGTCGTGCTCATGTAAAAAATTATCTGTCAAACTCGTGTGTTAGTTTAGATGCATGAGCACTTAGCTATACTTGATTATCACATGATTATATTACTGTGGCATTTGATATATATATGACTTGGCATATTTCTGGTTATAATGTTGTTGTATTATTGTTTACATACTTACATAATACGTTTTAAGGAAACTATACTTGTTTTACGGCGAGGGGTTAGTATATTCAAAAATAAAGGTTTTTACAAAACATTGTTTTGCTGACCCACTCAACTTTGTTTTTCGCCCCTCCAGGTTTAGTAGCTGTGCTTATGTATATACGAGGATTCTGGCAAATCTCAGGAGATGGTTACCTTCAATGGTATAACCCTCATCCTATTCACTTTACTGTCTTATGCTCTAATATCACGTGTGAAAGGGTTCAATCCCGCTCATCCGCGCACTCTTTTGTTTAGGCACTTTTAGATTTAAATTTATTCACATTGTTTTTCCACTACACTACAATATATGGTTTCGTCACCCTCCAGGTGTCGGCCAGCACAACTCGATTCGGTGTCCACTGGAACTTTCCGGGTCGAGGTGTGTCATTCGGAATATGACAATTTGGTGGTTCAAAATTATTTAAGCCAAGCTTAATTTCTAAGGGGAACGTAGCCCAAAGATATTTTCTCTTCATGACTTATTTTAGCCCAATAGTTGGAGATTGTTTGGAGGGATTTTAAAGCTTATATTTTAAGCTTTATCTCATGGGTTGGAGATGATCTTAGAAATTCAAAAATAGAGCTATGATTTTTAGAGAAATTCGAAGACGACGTCGACGGTGTAAAAGTGGAGTCAACGGTTGGGCTTATGGGTTTCACGTTTCACGTTTAACGTTTCATTTTTGTTTTTTTTTTAATTTTAATCTTTTTTAGAGTTTAACAGTGTTTCAAATGGAGTCATTGGTAGACAGGTGTCAACCTCTGAGACATGCCCTAGAGAGACCACAAAGAGTTTTAGATGCAAAAGATTTGAGCTTGTTTACACGTGACCCCCAGAAAAAAAAAATTCTTGAATCTGCCACTGGTCATCATTTATTTATTCATTAATGTATTGTTTTTTTAAGAATATTATTTCTGTATTTCATTTTGTTTATTATTTGCATATCTTTATTTTATCTTTGAAATTTGAACTGGGTTCATCTTTTTGCAATTGGTGTTTGTTTTTCACGGTTTAAAATTGCAATTGATTATTGCAAGCTAGGTCTTTTCCTGTTAGCAAGATTTAGAAAGTATGGGCGTGATGTTTATATGTATGTACCCAACGTCATAATTCATATTTTCCTACGATTTTTTTTTTTGTAATGTTCCAGTAAGACATGGGCGTGATGTCCATATGCGACTTAATACTTAGGAGTCTCAACTGTTTTTGGTAAATTAACCCCCTGAACTATTTGACCTTTATCGTTAGATTTCGTCTATTATTCTGTCAAATTCAAGGGCAAATTAGTTCTTTATCATCAATTCTTACATGTCACTTATAACTACCAATAAAATTATGACATTTGGACACATAATGTGAAATGGTCTTTTATGTAAATGTTTCGTTTGTTTATGTTTCTTATTATACTATAAGTTTTTGAATTATTCCGTGTCAATGTGCCATTATTTTATTGGTGGTTGTAACTGACAAGTAAGAATTGATGAAGAAAAGATTAATTTGTCCTTGAATTTGACAGAATAGTGGACAGAATCTAATTGTAAGAGGTTAATTGGCTGATTTTAAATAGTTCAGGAGGTTAATTTACCAAAAAAATAGTTCAAGAGTCAATTTCAACTGAGGTAATAATTTAAGAGGTCAAACCGCAGTTTACTATTTTTTTTCTTTTCATAGTGTGTTACTGAGTTGGGCTCTCAGGAGTCAGTACATATCTAATGGTAAGAATACTAGTACGTACTTAGTTTAATATTATATAACATAACTAATATTGTCACGTACCAGGACTGGGCAAATGATAATATGTCAAAACACTGGTACATACCAATATTTCAAAAAATAACGTACCAAAACATACACTACAACAACAAGCTTCATTAGTCACTAATAGCTACCAATAGCTAATGTGTATATAGAAGTTTTTAAAATTATACCATGCATGATTCGGATTCTAAATTCAATGTTTGTTTTTAAAATTATTATGTGATTTTTTTTTCTTACGGGCTCGAGTCTCTTTTTTTTTCTCTCACATTTTTTATTTTGTTTTTCTCTTAATAAAAAAATTAATCTAAAATATTGACGGAATTTAATGGTGAATGTTCAAATAGGAGAGAGAACTCATAGAAAGGTAGAGAAAAAAATAGGCAAGAGAATACTGCTCCCATTAATTTTGTTCTCATCACCTACCAAATGCACTAGCTATTGGCATACATTAAAATTACCCAAATTTTATTATTGAAAAGTACTAAACATGGTGGGAAGTTTACAACACATAACATGCCATGACCAAAGTTGTTTTTTCCCTGACAGGTTGGAAAATGTCTTTACGGTTGTAAATATGTACAAGTAGATCATTACTCTACCAATAAAAGTCCTCATAAATTATTTGTGAAAACCTGAGCAAATATCTGTTAGCTAAAAGCAAAGTGTACCGTGAACAAATGAAACGTGAAATCATAGGCTAAAAGAAAAAAGAAGCATAAAAGCGAAGAATCAAACATATTCTTGGATACTAAGGGGAAAAGTTACATAATTTGAATTTGAATATTGACAATAAAATAAATTAGACAAAAAAAGAAGAACTAACTTAATTTATCATGCCTCGGTTTATTTGAGAGATACAAAGTTTTTTATTTATTGCAAAGAGACAAAACTTATTCATATGACAGGTGATGTCATGGTTATTTTTTTATTGCCTTTGCATTTACTATTTTACCTTTATACAACTTAAAGATATGTCTCTATCTTCTAATTTGTACTTTTTTTTCACTCCCTGTTGTAAATAGTAGGTATGTATGCCCACATGTATACAGTAAACTTTTTATATGATTAATAGTGGGTATGTATGCCCACTTGCTCTATAAATAGAGCATTACGAGTGTTCAACAATAACAATAACAAGAACAACAAGAAAAGAAAGAAAGCTAGAATATTTTCAGTATCCTCCTATTTCTCTCTTATCTGCAATCATTTTATAATATTTTACTACAGCCTCACTCATGTCTCTAGCAAAGGTTATCTTTCTAACTTTTGTCTATTTATAATACGTTATCAGCACGACTCTCTAACCCTAAAACATTTCTCATTGCTCTTCACCGAAAGAAAAAAAAAAGTTTCCTTTAAGGATTTTACTGTTCTTCTTCTTCCTCTGCCTCAACTACTGGATATACCCTCGTGAAGAATTGTTCGCACCATGTCTGCTTTTAGTTCTCAACCTAACAATTACTTATATCTTTGATTTCTTGTTTGGATTAGTTCCTAATTTTTAACCCTATGTTTATTTATCTTTGTTGCAATCAAAGATGGTGCGGTATTATCACCCATCTTGGACTGCAAATTTAATTTTACTGCAAATTTTAGGTGGAATGATATAATTGCCCACCCTACCCTGCATATTTAAATATGTATGCTATTTAATTTTATTGCAATTTTAGGTGGTGTGGAATAATCACCCACCCTGCTCTGCATATTTAAATTTCTACTACTTGAGTAGTGCAGAATAATCGCCCATCATATGCTATTCAATGAGAATGGTGCGGTACAATCGCCCTCCTCATTTATCATGTAAATCTCGAGCTTGAAGTTTCGAGTGCTCATCATTTTAGCCTGAAGATCAAAATGAAAAATTTGTAAGAACCAGAAGTTCTAACAATATGTTCTTCCAGAATACATAATATTGCAAGTTCTTACACACATCATTTTTCTTTCTGAAAAGAAAATGGCGAACTTGGCAAAACTTGATTTTGTTGCCTTGGATATTACTAGGAAGAATTACCTTACCTAGGTAATGGATGCCAAGATTCATCTGGAGGTAGCGAATCTTGGAGAAACTATTAAGGAGGATAACAGTGCATCCTCTCAAGATCGGGCGAAGGCCATGATCTTTATCTGTCGCCACCTTGATGAGGGACTGAAGAGCGAGTACCTTATGGTTGAAGATCCACTAACCCTCTGGAAGGCACTGAAAAATAGATACAATCACCAAAAAACGGTGATTCTTTCGAGGGCTCACCTAAGGATCCAGGATTTTAAGACGGTGGCTGAGTACAATTCTGCTATGTTTAGAATTACCTCCAGTTGAAGCTCTATGGAGAAACCATTACTAAGGAAGACATGCTGGAAAAGACTTTCAGCACTTTCCATGCCTCCAAGGTGCTCATGCAGCAGCAGTATATAGAGCGAGGCTTTACTCAGTACAACCAGTTAATATTTGTGATCCTTGTAGCTGAGCAAAACAATGAGCTTCCAATGAAGAATCATCAGTCCCGGCCTACTGGATCAGCACCATTCCCAGAAGTGAATGCTACTTCCCTCAAAGGGAATACCACATCTTCTCATGGCAATAATTACAAACGAGGACATGGCCACAAGCGAGGCCGAAAGGGCAAAAACCATGGTGTCCAGTTTCACAACTAGATTCCAAGGCATAATATAGGCCCGAGCTTTAAAAATGCAAATCGCTAGAAAGGCAAAGCTCATATCAACACTCCTAGAAATCCTGAAGGAGTTTGCCATAGGTGTGGTGGCAATGGGCACAGGGCACGTACATGTCATATCCCAAAACATCTGGTGTATCTGTATCAAGCCTCCCTCAAGGAGAAGGTGTCGAGACCAATTTTCTCAACCAAGCTAAACATATGGATATACCTGATCCAGTGTTCGATTTATTAGGACAATTGAACATAACCCACCTAGATGTTTCAGAATTCATTATTGAAAGAGGGAATGAAGTGTTTAGGTCCGATTAAATCATTTATGTTTGATGTATTCTTGTTATTTGTACTTGTGATTTAATGCTTGCATTTTCAATTCAATAAAAGTAGTATTCCAGTATGAAGAAACTGTGGAGATGAGTAAGAATAATTAAATGGTTTAATTATTTATGGCAAGGATTAATTAATGTGTTAATTAATCAAATAAATAAGTTCGTTAAAGACCTCGGGATAGTTTTGGACCTTAATGCCCAATGGGCTTCGAACGTCAAGCCCATTGACTTAAGTTGTATGACAACTTAATGAATAATGATTCACAAAGGCCCAATTAGCCCAAAAATACCCAAAGGCCGGCCATTTAGAGATGGAGTGAGTTTTGGACTTATTTACAAGTTTGCCACTCCAATGAATTAAGGTATAAATATGACTTTATAGCCAAAATTCATTTAGGGTTTTCTTTTGGGGAAATGATGAGAACATAAGCTCTCCTTTCTCTCTAAAGTGGCCGGCCTCCTTGGAGGGTTTAGCTAGCAATCCTACTACTCCAAGGTCACTCATTTCTTCTCCAATCTAACCTTGGTGAAGAGACTTAGAGGTTCTCAATTTTGGGAACTTGGAGAACCATATTCTTCCATCCAAATCCATGGATCTAAGAAGCAAGGAATGAAGGCCCTCTCCTTGGGTGATTAGCCTTTGCTTATGCAAAGAGGAATCTACAAAGGTATAAATTTCTCAACTCACTTTGATTTGAGTTGAGTCTTGGTTCACCAATCTACTAGGCTTTGAATTTCATGGTTAATGTTTTGTTTTTAAGTGCATACAAGCATGATTCCGCCTTTTAATTGTTAATTGCATGCTATAGATGTTGCTTAAATGAACATATTTTTCACAAAATTTCCTTCAATTAATGGCTCAGGAAAAGCCCAAATCATGTTGCTAAATGGAACAATATTGTTCATACAAAATGCAATGTACGCTACTCGATCCACTCGAAATTTGTTGAGTTTTAAAGACATACATCTAAATGGATACCACATTGAAACGAAAAGTGCAGAAAATGTGGAATATCTATACATTACCTCCAATGATACCCAGAAACGTACATTGGAGAAGTTGCATGGCTTATCGAGTGGATTGTATTATACATACATAAAGACAATTGAGGCACATATTGTCATGAACCAGAAGTTCATTGATTCAAAAGTTTATATGCTTTGGCATGACTATCTAGGTCATCCAGGATCCACTATGATGTGTAGGATCATTACCAACTCTAATGGACATCCATTATTAAGCAAACACATTGATGTCTCACATGATAACCCTTGCAAGGCTTGTTCCTAAGGGAAGTTGGTAATTAGACCATCACAACTAAAGGTTGATGTTGAATCCCCATCATTTTTGCAAAGAATTCAAGGGGATATCTGGGCCTATTCAACCATTTTATGGACCATTTCGATATTTTACGGTTTTGGTTGATGCATCTACTTGATGGTCACATGTTTGCCTGTTGTCTACTCGAAATGTAGCGTTTACAAGACTTCTCGCTCATATAATTAAGTTACGAGCACAATTCCCAGATCATCCCATTAAGTCAATCAGACTTGATAACACTGGTGAATTTACGTCTCAAACCTTTGATGATTACTGCATGACACTGGGCATTGATGTTGAACACTTTGTTCCTCATGTCTACACTCAAAATGGCTTAGCAGAGGCATTTATCAAGCGGCTTCAATTTATAGCTCGCACTCTACTCATGGAAACAAAATTGCCAGTCTCTGCATGGGGACATGTCATCTTACATGATGCGTCATTGGTTCGGTTGAGACCTATAGCCAACCACCAATACTCATTAATACAACTCGTGTTTGGGCATCAGCCAAACATTTCACATTTATGAGTTTTTGGTTGTGCTGTTTATGTGCCTATTACAACTCCACAAAGCACTAAAATGGGACCTCAGCGCAGACTGGGAATTTATGTGGGTTTTGACTCACCACCCTATCTCATTTTGATCCACGAAGCACTCAATGTGAAGATGAAGTGAAAAGGATTGTTCATCTTCAAAGTATTGCTAATTAAATGCCAGATCCATTTAATGATGCTTTGAAAGTGACAAAGTCACGTATACTAGCTGCAAATGCATCTGTAAGAATTGATGTCCCTGTTGGACAAAATAAAATGGTAGCGAATGATTCATCTGGTACATGCCTGAAGTGTGGTAAACCACTAGGTTCAAAACATTCAGCCTTTCGAAAGAGAAAAATGAGGGCACAGCTGAATCCAAATGAAATCATTCAGGAAAAGAAATTGAATGATACATCCACATTTCATGATTCTAAATTTTCTGAAAAAGAAAATGTCCTTGATGAGACACATGTCCCTGAAGAGATAGAAGTACATGAAAGCAAAGAAATCTCCATAAATTATGCATGTACTAATGAATTGTGGGATTGAAATGAAATAATCATCGACAATATGTTTGTTTTCACAGTAGCCACTGAAATCATATTAAGCGATGACATTGAGCCCCGCTCTGTTGATGAATGCAAACAGAGACATGATTGGCCTAAGTGGAAAGATGCAATCCGGGCATAATTAAATTCCTTGGAAAAGTGAAGTGTTTTTGGACCAATAGTCCAAACCCCGCCTGGTGTGAACCTCGTAGGTTACAAATGGGTATTCACAAGGAAACGCAACGAGAAAATGAGATTGCAAGGTATAAAGCAAGACTCATTGCACAAGGTTTTTCACAAAGACTTGGAATTGATTATGAAGAGACATACTCTCCTGTAATAGACGCAATTACGTTCTGTTACTTAATAAGTTTAGTGGTTTTAGAGAAACTTGATATGTGACTTATGGATGTCATCATTGCGTATCTATATGGAGAATTAGATACTGACATATATATGAAAGTCCCAGAAGGACTTAAGTTGCATGAAACGACTAACAAACCACGAGGTATGTTCTCAATCAAATTAAGGTGATCATTATATGGGCTGAAACAATCTGGGCAAATATGGTATAATTGTCTCAGTGAGTATTTTATCAAAGAATGATATGCCAACAATGTCATCTGCCCTTGTGTGTTCATTAAGAAATCAAATATTGGTTTCGCTATAGTGGCAGTATATGTTGATAATATGAACCTAGTTAGAACACTTGAAGAGCTAAATAAAACTGCTGACTATCTGAAAATCGAATTTGAAATGAAAGATCTTGGGAAAACAAAATATTGTCTCGGTCTGCAAATCGAGCATTGTGCTAATGGAATTTTGGTCCATCAATCAGCTTTCATTGAAAAAATACTGAAGCAATTTGGCATAGACAAGGCTTATCCACTTAGCACCCCAATGGTCGTTCGTTCTTTAGACATTAAGAAAGATCCATTCCGTCCAAAAGAAGATGATGAACTAGTCTTTGGTTCAGAAGTACCATATTTGAGTGCAATAGATGTTTTAGTGTATTTAGCACAATGTACTAGACCAAATATAAATTTTTGAGTAGACTTGATAGCCGGGTATAGCTCTGCTCCAACAATTCGTCATTGGTCAAAGATGTTCTACTATACCTTCGTAGAACGACAGACATGAGTCTCTTCTATTCAGACAAGTCCACAAATGACCAGATCCTTATTAGATATGCAGATGCTGGTTTTCTCTTCGATCCGCATAAAGCCCACTCACAAACTGGATATATGTTCACTAATGGAGATACTGCAATTTCATGACGCTCAACAAAGCAAACATTAGTTGTTACATCTTACAATTACTCGGAAATAATTGCTTTACATGAAGCAAGTCGTGAGTGTTCTTGGTTAAGATCAATGATCCATCACATCCAGAATTCATGTGGTCTACCTTCAAAGACAAACACTCTAATTGTCATTCATGAAGATAATGCAGCCTGTGTTGCCTAGATGAAGGAAGGATTCATCAAGGGTGATAAGACTATGCATATATCTCCAAAGTTTTTCAGTGCATATGAGCTTTAGAAGGGTAAAGTTATTGAAGTCAGACAAATCTGTTCCAATGAAAATTTGGCAGACTTGTTCACCAAATCTATACCAAAGTGCACATTCCAGAAGATAGTGCGGGGAATCGGATTATGTCGGCTTACAAATTTGAAGAATGCGGAATCAAGGGGAGATACAATTCTGGGGGAGCATCCCTGATACATGCATGTTGTACTCTTTTTCCTTCGATTAGGATTTTTCCCACTGGGTTTTTCCTATCAAGGTTTTAACGAGGCAACATAAGTATGCTTAACACCATATCAACAATACGAGTAAAATTGTACTCTTTTTCCTTCGCTATGGTTTTTTCCCACTGGGTTTTTCCAAGCAAGGTTTTAACGAGGCAACTGATGTTGATATGTGGGCATCCAAGGGGGAGTGTTGTAAATAGTGGGTATGTATGCCCGCATGCAAAACTTTTCATATGATTAATAGTGTAATTTGTTTGTTTCCAAGGTACTTGCTCTATAAATAGAGCATTATGAGTGTTCAACAATAACAATAACAAGCACAACAAGAAATGAAAGAAAGATAAAATATTTTCAGTATCCTCCTATTTCTCTCTTATCTGCAATCATTTTATAATATTTTACTACAGCCTGGCTCCTGTCTCTAGCAAATGTTATTTCTCTAACTTTTGCCTATTTATAACACTCTCCACTTTTTTCTTCTTCATCATTTTC